GTTCTGTCTGGCCCCATGAACTGCTTTATGGCCAGTCCAGTTTCAAAGGCCTGAGCCAGACCTGAGAGGGATTCTGTCCAAGTTCAAAAGCACGAGGTCTCCAGGATGTCCTTTCCAACTGGATTTTACTGCCTACAAATACTTTCCATCCTATGCCCTAGAGGATATAAGTTTGACTCCTCAGCTAATGAGCCTGGGCAGAGCAGGAGAGGAGGCCACGCTGGTTCAGCACCAAGTTTGTCAGCACACAAAGTTTAGCTTGTAGAAAAATGAACAAAAAATGCCCCAAAACCCCACCACAAGAAAAAGCATCAGGCAGCAGCTAATAAGATCCCAGTAAAAATCAAACCTGATAGTTTTTTGCACCAAGCAGAGGTCAGCATTTTAGTCACAAATCTCTCATGGCAAAAAGCTCACACCTTGAGGGCTGCTGGGATTCCCAGAGGATTCCCAGGATGGGGAGGGTTAGAGACCTGTCAGGCAGTTCATGTGCATCTCACACCAAGCACGATCCACTTCTCACTGCAGCAAAGGTTACAAAACAGCATTGTATCAACTGTTGCTGGTTTTAGGGACTTTACCAGGTGAGCAGGAGGAAGGATCCTTACTGAGGCTCACTGACCAGGAGGAAGGATCCTTATAAACCAGTTTGCATGGTGAAAAGCAGACACACACAGGGAATCCAGTGTGGCATTCCTTTCTGAACTGCCATTGCTCCTTAGAGGGGATTCCAAGGGCTAAATCCCATTTTCAAAGACAAGGCTAACAGGGCTCATAGCTACACATTCTCCTGCTCTCTGTTGGTTTAGCTGCCCTGTCTTCCCACCACTGTCCAGTGCTTCATGCCCTGAAAAACCAAACAGCAACTGAAGAGAGAAGAACCAACAAATCACCAGCTGGAAGACAAACAGCAACAAAGAAAGGGGAATAGGGAAGTGGAGGGGTCTGGAAAATTGGGTGTTTATTTATCATAAATACAGATCAGCCAGGCGTGCAGTTCATCCCACAGAAGAGGCAAAAACCCTGGAGACTCTCCAGAAAGCCACATACTGGAAAGTTGTTTCCCAGTTAGTTCCCTTTTTCCACAGCAAGACCAGGATGACCTCAATTATCCAGCAGTTCCATGATCTTTTCTGCCATGGGATTGCACCAACATGTCCCACCAACACCAAGGCAGGAATCTATCTCTGCCAGCAAACTCCTGCCTGCCTGCTCAGAGCTGGAGCTTTCTTAACTAACTAATTAATTCTGTCAGTGCTGGTCAGAGCACAATGGTGCACAGGGATTTGGTGGATGAGGGAGGGCGTGTGTTCACAGACCTAACTGGGAATCTGGCTGCCAACATCTGTTTTGGGAAAGGCCATTTTTGGAAACAGAATGAAATGAGGCTCTTCAGGCTTGTGTCAGAAATTTGGGCACATAGTTCTAGCAGCAACTTCTGAGTTTGTCCCCACTAGGAGCTCTGCACTTTGCCCAGGCTGATGACGTGTGAGCTGACAATTAAAGCTGTGCAGGGAGGGCTGGACGTCTCCTGCACTGTCCCTGCCCACTGCCTGTGAACCCTGTGCTGGACAGTGCCTGCAAGCAGCTGCTCAGAGAGTGGCTGTGCCTGAGGCAGGAGACATCAGCACAGAGCTCATCCCTCAGTGTTTGGGGCTCAGTTCTTCTCCAGGATTCGGGTGAGGAGCTCATTCAGCCGGTTCACCATTGGCCTGGGGTCCTCATTCAGCCCTGCTGCAATCATGGCATTCTCATAGATCTGAAAAGGAGAAGAAAGCACTAAATAAGCAGCAAGAGTGACCTGCATGAGGGAAGAAGGGAATGGCACTCTCCAGGACTGAAACCAAGCATGTCTTCTAGGCCATCTGCTACAAAAACATGGACCACAAGCACTAGAAATACCCAGGGAAGAGAATACAGAAAAATGTGATTCTTGCCCTGTTCCCTACCACACAGGGCCTGCAAGCTGGGTCTGGGGAGAATGCTGCTGCTTCTGGAGAAGGTCTGGCTCTCACCTGGTCAAGCAACAGCTGGGCCAAATCAGGCTGACTGTCCTTCAGCTCGTTAAGCTTCTTGATCAGAGCATGCCTGTAAGAGAGAGAGAGATCAACACTGAGACTTGGTGATTGTGGACACAATGAGAAATGAATTTCCAGAATGAGCAGCTGTACCAAGGTGGGACAGAAAAAGGACAGGAAAAGGCCAAAATAGCTCCAGCATCCTTGCCCCTGTTCTGGTGGCTTTTCTCCCCTCTCTGTCCCTATAGCCCTCCTGGTCCCCAGAGGGCTGGACACAGCATGTGGGTGGCTCATGTGGACAGTGCCACACACCCTCAAAGATCAAGGCACTGTAGCACAGAGCTCTGCTACTTGGGAGCCTTTCACTGCCTCCTCTCTGCCTCCCCCCAGGCCTGGCACTGGTATTGTCCCCCTTACCCTGTGTTGATCTCCAGGGTGGGCTGCAGGAGCTGTGCTCTCTCCTCCTGGGTCTTGGCCAGCTGCTGCATGCGCAGGAAGTGGCGCGCGGCGCCCATCTCCAGCACGGTGATCATGGCAGGGTGTGTGTCCAGCCGCGCCGTCACCTGCACCACACACACCACTCAGGGCTGGCATGGGGAGCTGGGGGAGACCTGAGGACTCACAGACCCACACTAAGCCTCCACATGATTCATCCTTGTCCTCCAGGAGCTGCCTAAACCAGCACGGAAGCTGAGGGCCTAAATAGGCCCACAGGCAGTGAGTGGGTCACTGCTGGGCTCAAAGCAGTCCTTGCCAATGTACCTTTCTAGTCCACGGGCAGGAAAGTCACCAGCCTGTTCTGGTAACCAGAGCATCAACTAGGAACATGGGCTTTGCTCGTTACACATTAGGATGTGGTTCTGCTGCTGCCACATGGGCCATTCAAATGACAAATGCCAGCATCCGTACGATTTACAGACAAGGGACATGGAGAAGAATCACTTCTCTCAGGGTCCAAAGAACAATCTGTGGCAGCAGATCCACAGGCAATCACCATCTTTTTCATTACCTCCATGGATCTCCTGTACTTAATCACCCAGACACAGAATACCCACCTTGACTCCAGTGACCCGAGAGCCTAAGGCATTCCTCATCCAGGCCATCAGATCCTCAGCCTCCTTCTCTGACAGACGTTCTCCAGCTGGCAGGAGAAAGAGGGCACATCTGAGAGTGCATCTAGAGTGTGTAATGGACAGTGACCTGAGCTGCTGAGCTCAGCCCATTTCACACTTCCATTTATCTGTTCTCTTGTGAGAAGGGGGATGTAGCACTGCTCAGCACACACCTCCATACCCTCATCCCAGACCATGCCATACCCAGGGAGGGCAGGCTCATGCCCCACCAGTGCCTGCCTGTGTCAGGGCACCAGATGGACATGTGGGGTTAAAATCAAACCATGGCAGCTCCATACATGACATTCCAGCTGTTTAAATTTGCTAAAACTTTGAGCATGTGGGATGAAAGAGACCTGCAAGAACTGCAAGTTGCCTGAAAGCATGAGAATGGCAGGGTGGAGAGCTCTTGCTCAGGAGGTGTCCCCTCAGTGGCTGGCACATGGTGGCAGGACAGGGAGCAGTAGGAAGGGCCAGGGCAGCCTCACAGTACCTGTCTGGCTCTCCTCAAACTTCTCCTCCTTATAGTGATCCACCACGATGTCTGTCTCCACTGATATCAGCTTCTTCTTGTCAAACTCACGGAGGTGCAAGAGTGTCAGCTCATCAAACTGCTCATAGCAGAACAGTACCTGTGCCAACAAAGGGACAGTAGCACACTGTCTGGGATGTAACAGCATTCCCTCCTTCCCAAGGCAACTCTGCACCACACAGCAAGAACATCGCAAGGGAAACTTGCAGGTTCAACCCCACAGTGACTATCATTCAGGGCCCCCCATGAAAACCAATCCTTTGGAGGGTTTTGCCACAAGTGGCAAGTCTGCAGCTGAACAAGCCTTGGTGCCCATGGAAAGTGAGAACCAGCACTGACTGCAGTCCTGAGAGGGCCACCTGCCTACAGAGGACACCTGTCACACCATTACAGCTCTGCACAGCAGCTCCTAGGATTCTCCTCTGGGATTCAGCAAAGGTATGAAACACACGTCAGAACTAGATGTCTGTACTAAATCACCTGTTAGAGTGTGTAACAGGTCTCTCCTGGCCTCACACCACAGTCTGAGCAGAGAAAGAGGGAGATGGGTAAAGACACCACACTGGAAGTGCTCTATCACAGGCCTCACTGCCCTGCTCAGATCTGAGACGGGTGGTGAGACACTGGCACAGGGTGCCCAGGAGACTGTGACCGCCCCAACCCTGGCAGTGTTCACAGCCAGGTTGGATAAAGCCTTGAGCAACCTGATCTGGTGGGAGGTGTCCCTGCCTAGGGCCGAGGGTTGGGGCTAGATGATCTCTTAAGGTCCATTCCAATCCCTCTATGAAACTGTGAGATCCAGCCCTGATCACTGGTGTAGAGGCTCAGGGTGCTCCCCTGGCCACACCGCTCACCCACCTCCATGTCCTTCTTCTTCATGGCCTCGAAGTAGGGGGAGTGCTGGGCCAGGTGGCGGTTGGGCGCGCACAGGTAGTAGATGTTCCTGGTCCCCGCACGCATGCGCGACGCGTAGTCGGCCAGGCTGGTCAGCTGCCCCGCGGGCAGGGCCGACGACTCGTAGCGCAGCAGCTTCGCGATGTCCTCCTGCAGCAAACGTGCTCCTGTCAGCCACCTCAGCTCTGCACCACCACTCCCAGCCCCAGCATGCCTGCTGCAGCACACAGCCTGCAAAAACGCTCAGGGGACTCTGAATCCCTCCTTTCCTGCTCCAGATATTAAGAAAAGTGACCTAGACAGGATGTAGGTCAAGCTCTCCTGGAAATGGGAATCCAGGCAGAGGACAACAGGAGGGGAAAGCCCTACTTTATTGCCTGTGGTAGTTCATATTACATCAGGGAGGGTTGACAACAGTGTGGGGGCAGAGACTCTGCAGGGTCTCAAAGTAAAAGAGTGAGAGTTTGGGCACTAGAGAATCCATAGGTGTTGGCAGACCGGGAACACAAGTCACAGGCATGCAAGTTTCACAGAGAAGTAGCAGTGCCCCTCATCCCAGCTCCCAGTAATCTTTTCCACCAGCTACAGCACTTCAGGACTCCTGGTACCTTGACATCCTGCTCTGCTATTGTGACAATCCCCTCTCTCATGAACATCCCGTACTCCTCAAAGAATTTGGCATATTTCTCAGGGTCCTTCTTGCTCTGGTCAATGAAGAACTTGATCAACCTCTTCTGCAAGACATCACGGAGCTTCCTGCAGCAGGAAGAAGCCTTTTTAAAGATAGCTGCTAGAGCAAGACAAGAGATTTTAAGTGAACATCTTTCTGTGCAGGGTTTTAGTGAGTCCACTGCCTCCTTCCCCTCATGGCTCTACTTCTGTTCTTTGTATCTCACTCAGGAGCAGCCCCTGAGCTGCAGACAGCTAGAGCTATGTACAATGTTCTGCTGAAGCTCCAGTCTCGTGACTCAGTGATGCTGCAGTGCATAACCAGCTGTGCACAGAGCATCTTCCTCACCCCCACAGCGATCCTCAAACATGGGACAGAGTGGCTATACAGGGGTTACACTTGCAGGAACTCTTTCTGAAGGCCTCAAGGTCACCAAACCCAACAAGAAAACAGCTCCAATGTTAAGGAGTAAGAGCTACTCTTATACTCCATTCAAGTTCCAACAATAGCAGATGTCTGAGAAACAAGTCACTTTACAGATTACAGAGATTCTCAAGGATGGTAATGCTGCAGCTTACATGGCAAGTTCCTCCAAGCCTCTCTGACTATCCCACCATGTCTGCTCCTCAGCCAGCAAGAAGCAGACAGAGCCTCAGCAGTCCACAGGCTCTAAGTCTTGCTTACCTGATCAGGGCACTCTCCTGCAGCAGCTCCCTGCTGAGGTTCAGGGGTATATCCTCACTGTCCACAACACCTGGAACACAGAGCAACCCTTGAACAGTGAGTGCCAGGCTCAGGAAGGCACCCCTCACCCCACTCCTTGGGGAAGCCATGCTCCAAGCCTGGTCCCAGCACACACCTCGAAGAAAACGCAGCCACTTGGGCAGGATATCTGCAGCTTTGGTTTGGATGAGAATTTTGCGGCTGTAGAGGGCAACACTGGAGCCCATTTCCCTGCTGATGTCAAACATGGAAGGTTTCTGCAGAGACGAGACAGGAGGGTTACACCAGCAATGTGCAGGGTGCTCAGCTCCACACTATGCTGTAACATAGCACACAGCTATCTCTGTGGCTCTACCAGCTGACCAGGTCACACTGTGGTCTTCCCTACAGTGCTGAATTCAACGAGAGCTGAAACCTTGGCTGCTTTCCCTAGGGACCTACCTGAGCCATCACTTCCCTCCTGCCATGGCTCAGTATCCCCACAACTGCCCTGTGGCACTCAGCCCACTGCAGAGATGCCACACTGGATACTCCTCCCTGCCATTCCGCCGCCTTAGCCGCCTCCTTTCCCTGAGGAGCTCTCCTATTCTCTGCTTTCAGAGCAGCTCCCTGCACAGGAGCACACATACCTGCTCAGGCACATAGAAGATGCTGCGGATGTTGAGGGGAGCATCAGTCTTGTAGTGCAGGACGTAGCGCGGCTTGTCGTACGCCTGAGCGATGAAGCGATAGAACTCCTCGTGCTGCTGCTCGCCGATGTCCTTAGGGTCCAGCATCCAGAGAGCCTGCAAAGGAGCAGGGAGAGGAGTTCCCATCAGCTCTGAAGATTGGAGCAAGGAAACAGAATCTTTCAACCAGACTCCTATGCACAGCCTGTGGGCATTGCCATGTGGTTCAGGCACATTATCACAGGGTAACAAATTACAGCCTCTCAGCTGACCTCGGGGCACCTCTTAGAGCTAATTCTCGCCCTGTGACACACATAAAGCAGTTTTGTTAGCCCAGAACAAAGGGGATTTGGCTAACCTCCACTGCCTCACAGTTGCCAATGGCTGGGAGCACCCTGGACAGTTCTCACAGCTCAGCTGACTGGCAGGACTGCTCAGGTATCTCGAGGCCTGACCACCAAAGCAAAAGTGAAAGTTGAAGTGTGTTTGTTGCACCCTGCCTGCCTCCCTGACAGAGGTCACTGTCCCAGCTGAGAGCCTGTGAAGCAGCTCCTGCACTGCCTGTTTTCTGCTGATTTGTTCTGGAGGAGTTTGGACAATGCTTTGTGAACCCCTGAGCCTCCCCTGCTGCAGGGTCACAACGTGCTCCAGCAGAACAGGTGAACTGTAGCCATGAGTTCCACACCAGGCCCTTCCCCATGGCCATGCCTTCCACCTGCTGCTCTAACCCCCAGTGCATTCTGGAGCACTCAGCCCATGTTCACATCACATTTCAGTTTTCAGTACCTGGGCAAAGACTCACATCCTAGTGGGAGCCAACTAAGAGCCACATCTTTCAGTGGGGGGAAGCCCACCTCACCCACTGCCACTCCAGCCCTAATGAGTGACAGGAGTGATTTCTGGGGGCAAGACAAATATCCAGCCCACCCTCCACCTACCAGAGTCCAAGGGACTCAGGGCTCTGGTAGCCCTGACATGCTGCCACATTCCTTAAGGATTCTTCTGCCTCACAGCCTTGTTCCACAGGAGGCTCCGTAACATTTCCAGTACACACAAGTGTCCTGGAGGGTTTGCAGGATCACAGGTAGGATTATAGACTCACTGGGAACTAAGGTGCTTTACAGCAGCTGTGTTAGGTAAAGTGCTGCATTCCCAGTGGCTCACTGCAGCTACCCCAGTTAGACTGGAAAAGCCTCCAGCTCCATGCTGTGAGGTACATGGCAAGCATTCAGGAGCTCATCTAGGAGAATCCCCACTAGGGAACTAACTGTGGCTCTGCCTGCAGTGAACTGATGCTGCTATGTGAAAAAACACAAACCCAAGATCCTGGATAAAGGCATGAAATGGGAGCATAATGAGAATAAAACTGTTGCTGTATCCCAAGGGAAAACAGACTTTCTGATAAGAAGATAACAGTACATGACTCTATTAAGGGCATTTCACCCCTTGCTCTAACTACTGCTCTTCTCCAGGGAGCCTGTTCTATTGATTGTCAGGTAGAGAGAGCAAACAGCTGTCTACAGCTATTTCTGGGTTTGTAATTTAAGGGACACAGCCAGAAAGCCTTTGGAACAGAAACACTGTTATGCAGGAATCCAAATAAATAATCAGTGACTAATAACACCAATTACAGAACCTCAGGTAAATTAACATGATAACATGTTTAAGTGGAGTCTTCAAAGTCTGTGCAGTCAGTGCCACATTCCAGGAAACAACAAAAAAAAAAAAAAAAAGCCACACATCCTCTCTACCTGCTCTCTTAGGTGAGGAAGATTTAATCAACCGAAGAGGAAAACAATTCATACATTTCTGTTTTAAAAGATAATTAATTTGTCCTAGGTGATGCCTGCAATTGGGCCAAGAACATCTGACTGAAATGGATCTGACTGCAATCTAATTTAAGTGGTCAGAAAATGCCAGCATCCAGCAGTGCTCAGCTGGGAGTTGGGAAAAAAACCAGGCTGTGAGCTGAGCTGCTAAAATACCCAACCATTCCCTGTCCCTGGCTATCCCATGCTGAAGGACAGACAGAAGTGCAGCAAGAGGTGTCAGCACACCAGCACAGGAGCAATCCCTACATCACACTGTCCCCTGGCTTAAACAGTGAGAGTAAGTGTTATAAATAGCAATTCAGGTTAAGGGAAGAGCCAGACCTTGCAAATCTGCAAGAATTCTCCTCAACAAATGCAAAGGAGCAGTTCCAGTCATGACTCCTGCCAGATTGGCTCCTTTTGGTTCAATTAAGTGATCACTACAGGGTCTGTGGACCCAGGACAATCCTCCCCTCTTTTCCAGGGACGGCAGCAGCTTTATGCTGTTTTCTGTCTCCAGTGGAGGATTACAATGGTTCACCTCCAAGACAGACCTGCCTGTGGCCTCCTGCTCACCTGCAATGTGTTGATTCTTCTCCCATTGAGGTACAGTGGGAAGCTGATGAAGTTGCTGTATTTTGTCACCACCTCTGGAATGGAAAGAAGACACAGAAGAGTCAGCTTTGTGAAAGCAACACTGTAAGAATTTCCTCAGTAACAGCAGGTAAAAGAGTAGCAGGAGAGAAAAAATGCTCTAAATTCACCTCCCACCTATGGGCATCAACAGCCCTCACAGAGCTCTCAGGGGGTAACAGCATTCCTCTCCTGCACTCACCCTTGACTCGCTCTTCATTTGCAAACTCCTTGCAGTCTTCTTTGAGATGTATGATAATCTTAGTCCCAGTTCTGACCCCAGATGCTTCTGCAATCTCAAACATTCCTGAACTGGGATTAGAAACAAACCTCGTGTCAGCTTGTGCCTCAGGTACATTTGTGATGGGACATAAAAATGGTTTATTAAACTAAGAGCACACACAACACTTCAATGTCAAGAGAAGAAGGCAGAAAGTAAAATGCCTGAATGCTCCTTGTGCCTCTGAGAAACCCCCCAAAACATGGAGCTGTTTCCCCTGGAGAGATTCCAGACCCAGGGCACACTGCTCTTTGTCCACAATACACCTGCTCTGACAAAGCAAGTCTGTCCCTGTGGTTTCCACCCTGGCACATCTGGCCATGCTTTGTTATAGTGTATAACCTGAGAGGACCTAAACCAGTTAGCCTGGTTCTGAGAGACCACACAAGCCCAGTCTGGCTCTGCGCAGCATTCAGTCCTTGCCTGGTCTGGACACAGACCCCCACACTGCCCCCCACTCTTCTTACCCATCAGAAGACCAGTGGTAGCCCGGGCTGCCTGGCTCTGCAGACTGAGAGAACACCTCCACTTTATCTGCCACCATGAAAGCTGAGTAGAAACCCACTCCAAACTGTCCAATGATTTTACTGCTGGCTTCAGCTTGGCTCTGCAGAGCATCTAGAAAGGCCTGGAGGAACAAAGGAGACACAAAGCACCACACAGTGATTTCAGGTATCACCGGGAGGTTGTGATCCAGCCCCCAGCCAGGCTCCTCAGGCACTGACACAGCCCTACACCAGGTACACAGTCCTGCACCCTCATCCCACACCTCTGCATCAGTGCCCTGAGGGAGCTGCCCAAGGAGAAGGGCTTCCCCCACAGGGACTGCACCTCGGCAAAGAGGAGCATTGCTTAGAGCAACACTAGCAGCAAAGGAAAACCAGCAAGGGCTCAGGCAATCAGGAGCAGAAAAATGTAAAATGGTGACTCCAGGGATGAGAACAAAACTCAGGTACATATGCACAACAATTTGCCAGCATAGGGACACAGCTGCTGTCTCCTGGGCATGGGGAGAATGATGGGTGGCAGTTTGCCCCTCCACAACGATGGCTCAGGGAGGAAGGAGTTTGGGAGTGAGGGCAGGAGGGCGTTTGGGAGTGTTACACACAGGGCCCACGACCACTGCCTGGGCACCCCAGGCCTCCCACAGCACACAGCAGACACCATGAAGAGCCAGAAGACTCCACAGGTAGGTTTCACCTTCCAAGAGGGGTGTAGTTTCATAGCTGGGCTGGGGGCCAAGGGACAAAATGGAATGAAAAATTAGTAGGAGAGCCAAAGTGGTTGTAATTGGAGAAGAGTTTTCTAAAGGAGGGAGAAGGGTGCCTCATCCTAAATTACCTTTGAGCCTGATCGAGCAATGGTACCAAGGTTAGAAACCAGCTCCTCCTGGGTCATCCCAATGCCTGTGTCCTGGAAAGAAACAGCAATTGTAGGTGAATAATCAGTAGGGAAGCACTGCTCTAGCAAACAGCACCCAAGTGACTTCTGCCTCTGACTGCCACTCGCACCTGCCAGCTGAGCAGTAAATCCAAGAGCTGTGGCTCCACCTGCACATGGTCAGGAACACAAAGGACACACAGCTCCAGGGGCAGCCACAGCTGCCCTGTGCCTGTAAACCTCCAGAGAGCTCACACTCCAGCCATTTCTGGAAGGAAGACAACACTATGTTAGGACCGACTGGATTCTACACCCCTCTAAAGTGCACAGGATGGCAGTGCAGGAAAGTGATGTCAAGCCCCCATGGCCTCACTGTGCCAGGTGCCATGCACAGAGACACTTTCCATTCCTGAACTGGTCTGAAGGGGAGTGGAGGAGCAGTGAGCAGCAGCTTATTTTCCATCTGCAGATGGGGAACCAACACCTGCACACTGGGATCAGCAGCAAGGCAGTGAGTTCCCTAACTCTCAAGGTAATGCAGACCCTTAACTACAAGCACTGACCTCCATCTGCTCTGTCTCCTCCTGCCTCATCTTCCCCTCACATAATACCCCAAAAGACTGGAGTAGGAAGCTGTCAGTGTCCAGGTCCCCAAGGACTGGGTGGTTATTGCATTCCCCTGGGAACAGGCTAACCCCAACTGAAGTACAGTGCACTGGCCACACCTCCCAGGGTCTATCCAGGCTCTGGAGTCACACAGCTCCTTGTCACTCCCTTTATTCCAGATCTGTACTGTTGTATGCATACAAACATCTCCATGCTGCTAGCTCACACCTCTCAGGCAGCAGAGCCTGCAGCAGCACCACCCAGAAAAGGCTGCAGCACATGTCAGATCTGGCTGCAGCTCCAATCTGCAAGACCCAAGGCAACACGGACAACAGCAAATCCCAGCTAGATGATGCCACCCTATCATAGTATCACAGGATGGACCTTACAGATGATCATCTCGTCCCACCCCCCTGCCCTGGGCAGGGCTCTCAGGCAGCAGAGCCTGCAGCAGCACCACCCAGAAAAGGCTGCAGCACATGTCAGATCTGGCTGCAGCTCCAATCTGCAAGACCCAAGGCAACACGGACAACAGCAAATCCCAGCTAGATGATGCCACCCTATCATAGTATCACAGGATGGACCTTACAGATGATCATCTCGTCCCACCCCCCTGCCCTGGGCAGGGACACCTCCCACCAGAGCAGGTTGGGTTGCGTCGTGATACCTAATCTAAATCACCCCTCTTCAATTTATACCCATTACTCCTTGTCCTATTACTACAGTTCCTAGCAAATCAACCCTCTCACACAGGACTGCAGGAAAAATCTTTCCCATTCTGTTGTCCAATGTATTTTCAGACTTGCTCCACACACATTTTCCACAGGAGCAAAGGGCAGGCTACTGCCCTCTAGGATGCCACTTCTGACAAAAAAAGTGCCATTCCCTCTTCCAAATCCCAGCAACTTCTCCACCTGACAGAAACATCCCCAGAAGCCACTCCTGCAGGTTCTCTGAGCCACTCCCTGAGGCAGCAGCAGCATGAAAATTAGCCAAGTGAGAGGTAAATCTCACTCCCCTAAGGAGTTCAGCTTTACCCAAGTGAGCAGTTACCACTGCTGACACAGTCCCAGTGCTGTGGGCAGGGGTGGGATTTGGGGGCTATGGGGGTAAGACATTTTCATGCATCCCCACAAGTCATGGCACAGGATCTCTTGATTAAATACAGTAAGGCCAGTCAGTCCACTTGGCTGAGCAGAGGGATGATGCCCAGTAAGACTCAAAAGCCAGGAAAAACAAACAGCGTATGGCAAAATCTCAGGAATCTGACTTAGTCCCTTCCCCCAGGAAAGGAAAAGCCAGAAAGAGCAGTTTTCAGCATCTGGTTCAGTTTTTGTTCATGCCAGACCCTGAAGAGAACTCTAAACTCCTCTGATCCACTCCTATTTATAGCACAGCATGTCATTCCAATTCCAGCATGCTAAAAAATAATATATTCCTACCCCACGAATTTAGTTGGCTATTGAAATCCTAATGCCCTGCCAGACTTACTGCAAAATGCCTAATGACAATTCCTGGAGACTAGTTTGATGAGGGTGAGCTGCAACAAACCAAGAGAGCAGAGTTCAAACCAGTCTGCTCCTGCTGCGCTGCTAGCAGGGAGAGCAGGAAGCAAAGATCCTGGCAAAGGAGACATTCCCTACGGCAAGAGGACACCTGAGTGGATTAGGATGAAGATGTCATCAAGATTCAACATGTCCCTGCCATGTCCATGTGTCCTGCAGCTGTCCTTAGGGCTCCCTTCCCCATATCTGGGGATCAGGAGCAGAGAGACAGGAGCTGTGCTCCACAGGGCAGGAACTCACCAGTGACGGGAAGCAACTGAACCTGTCAGCAGGTCAGGGAGGTGATCCTGCCTCTCTACTCAGTGTGGCCACACCTGGAGCACTGTGTCCAGTTCTGGGCTCCTCAGTACCAGAGGGATATGGAGCTCCTGGAGCAGGTCCAGTGGAGGGCAACAAAGATGACAAAGGGACTGGAGCATCTCTTTTATGAGAAAAGGCTGAGGGAGTTGGGGCTGCTCAGCCTTGAGAACAGACGACTGAGAGGGACCTCATCGATGTATACAAGTATATGAACAGTGGGTGCCAAGAAGATGCATGAGGCTCTGCTCAGTGGTGCAAACCAATAAAACATAAGCAATGGGCAGAACATTGGCAGGTAGAGGTACCTGACTGAGACAGTCTTTCATTTTGCTTTGTTGTAAAACAAACACTTGAAACATTTATTTCAGTGTAAAACCTCAACAGAACACTGACTACAGTATAAAATAAGGACATGCTGCTTCCACCAATTGATAAGGTAATAAAATCCCAAAACATCTGATTAGCAAGTGTTCCCTCTGCTAGTTAAATACCTTGCTTAATGAGAGTTAAAATTTACAAGACCAGGACAGCAGCTGCACTAGAGTAACATTTTGGTTTAGAACCAATATGGCATCAGCAGCAGCAAGAGAAAAGCCACAATAAAACTGACTGTCACAGACACAAGGTAATCTTGGCCTAGTACATGGAAGCTGTCCAAAGCAGAGAGCCTGAGCTTTCCTTTGCAATACCACAGGCTCAGCCTCCACCCATCCAGGTCTGAATACTGACTGTCCAGAAAAGACTTCCTTCCATCCACTCTGAATTTCCCATTTTTTACTGTGCCTTGCTCCCATTCTGGCATGAAGAGAAAGAAAAGATCTGCACTTCCTTCCCCAGACCGCAGACTATTTGAGATGTGTTTGTATTTCTGGTTCCCTGGCTTATTTGCTAAAGATGATGCAACTACTGGAAGCTCAAACCCACCCCTGCAATCCACGGCACATTTCTGCAAGCTTAATTCCACCTAAGGCTTGCTGAGGTACAGCCAAATTTACCCCTCCAAATCCACCTGTTCATCTCCTGCTTCCTCAAGCCCGAGTGGCACATGGATGCTGCAGTGCTGCACACAGCTGAGGATGTCACCCTCTGCTGCAGCCTGGCCACACAGGGGAGGGGGACCTGCTCCTCACTTGCACCAGGCTGTGTTGGACATGCAGCTGCACCTGCACTGACCTGCTGCAGCCCAAACACCTCAATCCTTGTTAGAACCTCAGGACAGCCCAGTCCTTGCTGCAGACTGTTTATAACTGGTAAGGCAGCAGAGATCCACTCAGTGATACAAGGAGCTATTGCAAGGAGGAGTGGTGTTTGCAGTGATTTTAACTCCTCCCCAACACAGCAAACCTGTTATTTTGTGGCTTCACAGACACTGATTTTGGATGACTGCAACAGCGAGATGACAGCCCAGCAAAGGGAACGGAGCAGCCCAAGCTCCGGCAGCGATTCCGCTGCTTGCCTGTGTTAAAGCAGCAGTCACACTCCCTCCACCAGCAGCAGCAGCAGTTACCAGCTCTGTAAACATTCCAAACCATCTCCTCTGAACTATCCTAGCCCTAAATGAAGCCTCAGCAAGGCACAGGGCTGCAGCCCCCGAGCTCTCCCATCACCAGGCACAGCAGCGCTGCACTACCACCACTACAGCACAGCTGAGCACCTCTCACCTCGTGCAGGTGCTGAAGGTGAGCTCTGTGCTCACAGGGCCTTGGGATCTGTAAGGAGTTCTCTGTTCCCACCCAAAAGGGTCCAAAACATGTCTGTAAAGCCTTAGCACAGGGAACTGCAGAGCTCTGCAGAGCTGTCCTCACTGAGAACACACCCCTCGCATTTTCAAATGGATCTTCTTAAGAGCTCTGACCTTGCAGGCTGTGGCTGCTATCGCTGGAGCTGTCCTAGAAACACAACCAGGCACTTTGCACAGGGCTGGAGGAAATGGTGGAATTTACTAAAACAATAGGACTTTGGTGAAGGACCAGAGGCGGTGGAATCCAGTCAGCAGGACAGTGAACACGTCCCTCTTAGCAGATACAATACTGCAATGCTTTGGTAGGATGTCCCTGAATGAGGACATTCTATCAAAATTCTGAGTCTTGCTGTGCTTGTGGCTGGAATTCAGTCCTGGCAGAGAAGGAAGCAGAACTGCAGTCACTGAACAAAGATGAGTGTAGTCCTTCACTAGAGCTACATAATCCCCCAGAAACGTGCCTGGAACAGAGGCCATCACACATTACAGACCTGCCTCTTCTCAGCTGTGAGATACAGAGAGCTGCTACAGGGGAAAGAGAGACAGCAGATCCAGGGGGCCAAGAGCAACATGAAGATCTGAGGAGAATGATCCAGGGGTCAGAGTGAGACAATGGGATCATTCTAGGGGAAAAAAAAAGGGGGTGATCATTGCTACATGTCATGCATGAGGAACCTGCTGCCTCTGTTTTGGTAGGTCCTAGTGGGCACACAAAACAAAACAGTGGCTAAGGGACAGATCCACCTCTGCCTCAATCATTGCACCGAGTTTTCTTGCACCTTTGCATTCCAGAAAGGTGGGGAAATGGTCTGAATGAGGCTTATTCACAATAGTCATTATATGCAATTTGCTTCTTGAAGAGGTTATAAATAACCCCCTGACTGGAGGTAAGGAGCTTTCGGCACTCCAGAGAAGGCAAAGCTATTAAAGAGATTGGAGCAGTGCTGTTCTGGCTGCTCCTCACAGTGCAGGACTGCTGCAGTTAAAAGCTTCCTAGTTAAGACTCATTTAATGGCATTAGAGAGGCACAGGCAGCCAGGCAGGGGGTTATAAAAAGCCCAATCCCTAACACATCTAACTGGGATGTTACACACATCTAACAGAGGCACCCTGCAAGGTGGGCAAACAGGTCTCCAAGCAAACTGCCAAAGGAGGGGACAGGGACAGGGCAGCTGTACAAATGTCTTGGTAGAGTCAGAGGCTTTGTGTCCACTATGGTCTGGAAAGGGAAAGATGAGAGCAAGGCAGGAATGACACCCTGCCTAGGGCTAAGCAAAGGGTCATTACAATCAGCCTTACACAGCAGTCAGAACACTGCAACAGTCAGGTGTGACAGTAGCAAAGCCCCTGCGTTAGGGTTTGAGAATCTCTGGTTGATGATTTTGTTGCCCACTGATGAGCACTAACTTCCCCATGGCAACCACAGCACTTGTTCTGCAGGGAAACAGAAATATACAATACCTCTGCAGCCTCCAACAGCCACTGCTTTTGTCCCACGTGAAACACATCACACGGAGAGTTTTGCGTGTGCCACATCTCCGCTGAGCCTGCTATGGTCACTCACTGCTGTCTGTCTCATCCTCTGCTCTCCTGAGAACATCTACAGCTCCACTCACAACTGACACAGCTCCATAAGGAAAGTGACCTGTTCGCCTTCTTTGCATTTAGAACTTTGCCAAAAAACCCCACCAAAACTGAGGTTCAGCCTTCTACCTTGGACAAGAGCCATGAGCAAGAGCTGTCAAAGAGCAGAGAGAAGGCTCAGCTCCACTTCCCTCACCATGCTGAGGCCCACAGGTGAGTGTGCTTACACTGACTGACCCCCTCCCAGTCAGCCTTTTGTCAACAGCAGGAAACAGCCACAACCCAGACACAGGTAAGTGCTATGGTCCTGGCCAGATCTACAGCCCCACCTGTACATTAGGGCAGAACCTCAGCATTGGTTGGACTTGGCCTGTCCTGCAGTAGGAGGAGATAAAGAGAGCAAAGGGAGGTGGTTCTCCCCCCCTGCACCTCCCAGCGACTCAGGGGAGGTCAGCAGGGTACCATGGAACACTCTCCTGTTACCAAAGGGAGGTACCTGGATAGTGATGGTTCCCTTCCCACTGTCTGTCTGCAGGTGGATCTCCATCTCTGGCAGGGCCTTCCCTTCTGCCATCAGCCGGTGCCGCAGCTTCTCCAGCGCATCGCTGCCGTTGGAGATCAGCTCCCGGATAAACACCTGGGGATGAGACACAACTTGGCACTGCAGCCTGTCCCTGTCCCATGCACAGCACTCCCACACACCCAGGAGCTCACAGCCTGCCCACAAACTAACTCCCAGCTCCCAGACCGTGCTTCCCTATTATCTGTCAGGAGAAGTGTTTGTCCAAACTCAGGACTGAAATACTCCAAGGCTCAGAGTCACCTGGATGTACCTGTAGATTGCTTTAAAAACACGTTTTCAGGGTGTCTTAAGAAAACATCATTCAAGAAAGCCTGACATGAACAGCTCAGGACTCACTGGGAAGTGAGCAGCTATTCTCCTAGCTCAGCCATTCCAGGTGTACCCCTTGCCAGAGACAGGGCTCTGCCAACAGACAACCTCCCAGCAAGCCCTGGGTGCCTCACCTCCTTCTCTGAGTACAGGGAACGAGCAACAATGTCCAGCAGTTTCTTCGTTTCAGCCTGAAACTCATGTTTAGAGGCTGCACCTGGAATAAAAGGTAAGAGTTGGGGTTGTTCAGGCTGGAGAATAGAAAGCTCTGGGAAGACCTCAGCACCCCTTCCAGTGCCTAAAGGGGGTCCAAGAGAGCTGCAGAGGGACCTGGGACATGGAGTTAAGATGCTATTTCTGTACAGGAATAACTCATGTGACAGCTTTAGACCACATCTCCCTGGAGATGTGCAAAACAATTCATTCTAACTACAGGGATTCTCATTAGACCTCCATGACCCACAGCAATGAGCTGGGCAGGCATAGTTTGCTTCTGGGACAAAAGCAGAATCTCTTTTTAGCCAATTCCAGTGCCTGTGGAGCCTCCACACATATGCATGACCATCAATTGCCAAGGATGAATGAATCAGTGACTTGATTGACCATGGATGCAGCTGATAGTCCTGTTTCTCAGTAAAGGCTGTTCTGACCTCCACATCCCAGTTTTGGGAAGGTGATGGTGCAGCACAGATTCCAAGGATGACCAATACCTGCACCTCTTCCAGAGGCAGCCACACCGCTGTGGAGGGCTCACCTGCACCCACACCTTGTCCCAGGTGCACCCCAGGAGTGTCCCCACAAGACATCTGTGCCTACCTTTCACGTTCTCAGTGTTGCTGATGATGGTGTGCAGGGGCTCCTCCTCTTTGTTCTCGGCCGCCTGTGTGCTGTACATCCGGACAGCAGGA